AAATTGCAGACCGAAATTACGGCGGTTATATCGCGCTGGCGCAAACATCGATACGTTTACACCGCGGACATCGCGAAAATGTATCGACAAATTCGATTAGATCCTCGCGATACAAACTACCAGCGAATTCTCTGGAAATTGTCTCTCCACGCAGTAATAATCGTTTACATCTTGCTCACAATTACGTACGGAATGATATGCGCGCCGTTCCTCGCCCTCCGTGTTTTGAAGCAATTAGTTAGCGACGAAGGTCACCGATTTTCGCTCGCGGTTACTATCCTGCGCGACAATATTTATATTGACGATGTTCTTTTCGGCGCAAGTGACGTAACACGCTTGAAGCAAGCCCGCGATCAGCTGACCGCTCTATTGAAACTAGGAGGATTTGAATTGAAAAAGTGGGCAGGTAATTTGCCCGTTCTTCTAGAGGATATCGATCCGTCAGATCACGGCTTAGCGTGTAATAAACAATTAGCGCAGGACGAACAGCTCAAGATTCTAGGAATCGGATGGAATCCAGCCAGCGATCTATTCGAATTTCGAGTGTCGCTCGCCGATGCCATCCCGGAGAGCAAGCGTTCCATTCTCTCTACGATCGCGATGTTCTACGACCCGCTAGGCTGGGTCACCCCCGTGACAATCACCGCCAAGATATTCATGCAAAGTCTCTGGCGCGAAACGTTAAATTGGGACGACGTCGTTTCCGCGCCACTTCTATCTCGGTGGAAAGAAATCCACTCTCGACTCTCGCACCTAAACCGATTAAGAATCCCACGGTGGACCGGTCTCAGGACAGACACATCTCACGCAGAGGTGCACGGATTCGCTGACGCGTCGAACGCCGCGTACGCCGCCGTAGTATACCTCCGGGTAGTTTCTTCCGACGGTCACGTGACTATCACTTTGCTTATCGGAAAATCAAAAGTCGCGCCTCTAAAACCCCTCAGCGTTCCCCGCTTAGAATTATCCGCGGCGCTTCTCCTCGCCGAACTCATGGCATTCGTGCGCGACTCGCTCGGCTACGCCTTCCCGGAGTTTTGCTGGACAGATTCCGAGATCGTGTAACGATGCACCCCGTGCGCTAAGCATCGTTCCCGGCTAACAACCGCCGGATGCCGCCCGACCGACAATCAGTCGGGCGAAGACCAGGGCGCGGTGCGCCCACATTTTAAACGAATTCAAAACGTACCGTGTGCGCGGGCCAAGCGCGGCACCGGTGCCTCCCGACGAGCGACGACGGGAGCCGAGCCGCC